ATCAGAGTTACCCGTATCCGTGGGGAAAAATTCAAGCAGGGAAATTCGGTGAAATGCGACCACCATGCAGATGTGATGACATCTTGTGGTCACAATACGTCCTTTGCCTGCCTAATAACACGGGAAAATTCCAGTCTCTTCGATGCACTTAACATTTAAAGCTACACGATTGTAACACCATAAATTACATGAGTTTACATAACAGTCACTCCCATGCTCGTGAAAACCAAAAAATCCGGTATACTCTGAGCTGCGCTAGCTGTGCTCACATCTGTACAGACGTTTCTGGGCATTCGCACCTCTAATCAGGGAACGTTCAAGTTTGTCAGAAAATCCAGTGACCCACCAATGCACGAAGCCGATAAACCCAATGACTTACTTAATATTTTTCTTCTTGCATCGGACGAACGGAAAGCATGAATTCATATCGATACATGCCGCAAGTGGCGAGCATTCACAATTTGAGTCTGTCAGGGCTATCAATGTGTTTTACAAAAAGTTGCCTGTTTGGGCAAACAACAGATCCATCACAAATGGCGCATTTAAACACGGATTCACGGGTTCACGGATTGATACNCTATCATCTCCCGCCTGCAATGCGCAGCTATCTATCCCCTCCTCCAATCTTCGGGGACCGTAACTGCGACAGACAAAACCACCGCACGACGAGTACGCGATTAGTACAGCTGACAATGATGATGATTTCGGTCACAGTGTTCATGCAGTAATTAACAATACCCAATGATCTGGTGAAACAGTGATCAGTATTTCCGTAATCAGGAAATTTCTTTGTGAGTACCAAAACCTCGACGGCATTTAGCAGTGAAAACTGACTGAGTTCAGACGATTTCTTCCCTGTTTACGATGAAAAAATGACCGCCGGTATCAGGAGTTCCTCGACAACTCAAAGCTTTTTATACGAATTGTGTCAAAAGCTCTTACTGCAGCAACATGCAACTTTCGTGCGCTCAACAACATCCGAAATGTACCAGAAGTTTGCGTTGTTCCGGGAAGAGCGGCGGTTTATATACAGTAGAACCTCGGTGAAACACATGACTGACTATGTTAGGAAACTCAGTATACTTCCCTCCAATCAATTGCGAGAAATGGTGTATCAATTAACGGCTGATGAATCCATTATTTATCTCTTCTGGTGAACAACAAAATCAGAAAATTAATTTTTCAGCTAAATTCTTGGTCACTCGGCAACCAATACCGTCTAAATAAAGGGGCTTCTGACAGTGTTACAGAGTAGTCGACGGATCAGAAATGGGTGTAGTTGATGTGTTGGATCACCCACAGCGCAAAGGCTGACTGCAACCTTAAGTTGACTCCCATCACATTGGTAGCTTACATTTTCGGT